CTTCTGACGCTCCGACCCATCCCCAAGCAAACCTTTTACTTCTTGTGGCACGAGTTATTTTGTTGCAAGGCGGTAGCCGTGTACTGATGGTTTCAAAGAAACACTCTCCTGAAGTGTGCTAAGCTTATTGAGTCATGTATTCTAATGAACACTTGCCTTTACCTCTGTAAAATTGTAAAGACATCTCTTTGCCGTTGGGTTTAGGATTTAGGGTTTAGAGTTTAGGGAAGTCTCAACCCTTAAAGTTTATTAATTAYATGTGTACTGATTGTAAAGGGTTTATCTCACATGAATTAACTTATGAGTTAAAAATAAGTAGATTAAAAATGTTGTATGCGTGAAAGTTCGTAAGTTAAGTCAACCTGAATTGTAAGTCGGTTAGGGAGATCAACACCCCGATACCCAACACAAATATGGGTATGTCTTAGGCATTCTACCATGCATATGCCTATGGTACAACGATCGAGAAGAACGCCCTCGACTGACCTACCTTTGCCATAACAAATAAAGACCTTCGTACGTGGGTCAGTAGCTCAACAGAGGTACACCTACCTAAGGGTGGTGACAACCCCTCAGGTAGTAGAGGTAAGTTGTACCTCGCGGAACTTTGTCCTGTCGCACATAGTCGTGAAAGGTATAGTTGACGCGCACTGTTGGAGTGGTATCTTCGTGGACTCAACGCATGACTTGATCCTGCGTGACACGACCGTGAGGTCCGACACTTACTGCAGTGTGTAGTAACGTCGTGCTCAACAACGCCTATCTAAGGGTGGTGACAACCCCTTAGTTAGAGGTAAGTTGTGCCTCGCGGCGTCTTCTCCTGTCGTACGACTCCGTGAGAGGTATGACTAATGCGCACGGCCCGAGTCGTACCGTGTTCTTTTTTCAAACAATCATATGTGACACGGCTATGAAGGTCCGACATTTGCCGTAATGTGTGGGACCACCACGACTTACCACGTATCCTCGCTGAGCTACCGATATACATATGAGAGATTTTACTTATAGTCGGAGAGGTGGACTAGCCGACGACATTTCTCGTATGTTGTAGCATACTAGGGGATACGAGTGATTTACGTTCGTATCAAACCCATACGGGAACTGCCACTTGAGGCGCTAATCTCTCAAGCGTGGCCCTACGTCGATCGATTATCACAACCATCTAACCACGAGACTCCTTTTCGATACTATTCATTCTTAGACCCGTCAAACCTATGTTTGGTTCTTTTTAAACTCGTAATTAGATTCACGTAGGTGTAATAAACTGTATGATGTAAGAGTTTGTATAGAAAATGGTCATGCACAATATTGTACTATAATACATCGAACGTTCGATTGTTGCAATCTGCCATTATGACAACATTTTACAAAATATTCATAAATATGCAGTCGTTCATGACTTTTGGGGTCGCATACAATACCCAAGTATAAGCTGACAAGTGCTCCGGGGTCTTACCCCAGTGACATAAAATTGTTGAATAATAATTTGTAACAGCTTCACGGCGGTTTGACCATTAGTCTAGGACATACAAATATTTGGAAACTGGATATCCTTCACACTGGGGGCGATTTCGTGTGCTGAGCGTACTCTATACACCCATTCAACTATGAATACCTAATGACACGTTGCTACTACAGTCCTTACTCAAACTGCCTGAACGGAGAGATGAAAAATGTCGTGTTTTGTGTCGTATGTGTGTGTGCAAGAGAGAGAGAGAGAGAGAGAGAGAGAGAGAGAGAGAGAGAGAGAGAGAGAGAGAGAGAGAGAGAGAGAGAGAGAAAGAGAGAGAGAAATAGTATTTAACTATCAATTTGATAAAGATACCACGATTTTAATCGGGTTTATCATTTATCATACTTAGTCATCACCTAATTTGTATAAAACAGTTGTAGCGCGCGGCAGTCCCACACCCAGACGTAAAGTAGTTTTTTTTTGTGTTGAATCTCACGGTTGTATCACGCAGGAGTTTTAATAGAGCATCAGTCAGAGACCAACTCCGACCGTGCGCGCGTGCTATACCTCTCGCGACTCCCTACGACAGGTTAGGGATCCCACGAGGTACAACATACCTTCACCTGCGGGAGCTGTCACCATCCCTTAGGTGGGCGTATCCCTGCTGAGCTACTGACCCGCGTGCGAAGGCTTTTACATGCAATCGCAGAGGTAGGCCAGCCGATGGCATTTTCTCGATCACCGTATCATAGGCATACATGCGGTTGAACGCCTAAGAATGACCCGTATACTTGTCGGGCATCGGGGCGCTGATCTCCCGGACCGACTTACAAATCAGGTCGACTCGACTAACGAACGTTTCGCGCATACTACGTTTTGCCTAGAAAATAGTTTCTATAGGTATGACTCATAACCTATCCCATTTTAAAAAAAACAATCAGGAGTTGCGCATAAGACACATACCATCCTACCTAGTGATTAAGTCCATTCGACATATATCCCTGTGAAAAATCTTTAACTATGGCATGCATACATGTGAGATAAGACAAGGCTGGGTAATTGAGCGAAAAAATGTCACATACACACAACACATTCATGTAAACAGTCTGAATTCAGCAAGGAAAACATAGGTCTTTGACCTTTTAATCATGAACAAATGAAAATGATCAGAAAATGAACGAGGCTTGTCGCCTTAGCAATAATCCTAATCTGCTTAACAATCAGGGAGAAGCACAACGCTGGATATTTAAACCAAATGTATAAATCTCGTGTTGACGAAACATCTGGATCAAGGGCCAAAATAACATAAGTGTTTCAGTGTGTTGCCGTGAATAGCATGTGGCTGGTCGTATTACCGACCTGCAGACAAGAGTCAATCACATTACACAATTCTAGTAGAGTCAACCATTTATTCACCTTCACACACACCACACTTACGCTTCTGATCCTTTTAACCAGACATTCCTTATCGACTTAGTCATTCAAGGACCTCTTTTGACCAAACACAGACCCTTTAGATAAATGACCCGAAACGGAAATGCTATTTAGTGCAAAGGGTGATGCAGAGTGTGGGTGTCGAGGGTGAGTGAGGGATGAGTTGGATAACCAACCTGTTACCATATGGCAACAGCATGTAGTCTTGAATTGACTCATAATCAGTCTCCCTTATTAAGTTAACCTGCAATCACATACAGGTCACAGGGTCTCTATACCTCTCTCACTATCGCTCTACACGAAGTTCAGCGATGTGAACTTCAATTTTATCGGTGGACTATAATATAGTCCGATCAAATGTAAGTATGAAGTAAGAAGACTCCGACAGTAGTTGTCACTCATAGTTACTCAAGCAGTAGGATAACTCAGACATGAGTATCCTACCACTTGTTTAGTCTCACTGGTTCAGTGTTAGACAGACCATGGGATGACCCACACAGGAGTACCCCACTTCTAGCCTGTCAACCTGATTATCTAATATATGTACACGCGTACAAACGAGTAATAGGATGTTCCTTACCCTGGAGCCTTATCCTGTCACCGGTCTTACATCCATACATCAATCAATCAACACTCTGTTCTAGGCCAGCGTGCACGAAGGTGATCACGGCTCTAGCTAGGAACGGTGTTCACATGCACATGTCTGATCGCGCTGGTAATCAGATCAGAACAAACGGTGTAGGTAATGAAATAGTAACAAAACAAATAATAATACTAATAATAATTATAGAATATAATAATAATAAAAATAAAATAAATAATAATAATACTGATAATAATAATAATAATAATATAATGCAATAAATATGAGTGAGCACGGTACATCGAAGACTAAGTTATAATTAAACATGCAGAAGTCCAGATAGTCATGTAACTAGTGGAGAAATGAAATGTACCAAGGTTCCATCCAAAATAGGAGCAATACAAGGAACCCGTGAGCCTATGTTCAAGCCCTCAGGCCACATTAATGCAGTATCCAATGCCACTCTTCTCTGCCTACCGGGTTATGATCCGCCTATGGCTCCTAACGCCCTGCTGTGCTGTTATGCTCTACACCACTCAACGCCTACTAGCGCGCCCCAACTAGCGCTGGTACAGGCTGATACTTGTGATGTTTTGCAGCAGCGTGGCCGCAATTGCTCGTTTACGCCAGAATGTCTTTAACTGTTTGGATCTGGCCGTGAAAGTATTCAACAGCTTCTGATCGGTCCTTACTGTCTTAGTCTAGGCCTATGTCTACAGTTGAGGGTCTGATGGAGAGGAGCAAACCGGCGACCAATCAGAAGTATAATTCAAGATTCTGAAGCAGCTTTCAGTCATTCATTCATTCCGCTGCGAGCCATGCAGAAGCGCTGCTACAGTGGCTTGGGCAACGGTGATCTGCAGACGCCCGGAGAGTGCAGTGTGTTTAACTCAGTAGGTTAGCAGTGTGACTGCACTTTGTCGCCGGTACATCCCCATGCAGTTATCAGTACAGTCACAAGTAGTCCCAATCCAGTCCACCAAGCACCATTAGGGACTGTGCGCACCACAGGCAAATGGAAAGGGCCGGCCGGTACCTAACAAAAGTATAAACCAAGAGGCTGCGACCAGTCATCCATTCATTCCTGCGTAAGCCATCCGGAAGCGCTGCTACAGCAGGCTGTGCAACGGCAGTCTGCACATGCCTAGAGAGTGCAGTGTGGGTGTTTTAGTGCCATTGCGTGTGCGACTGCGTCCCTGTTGTGTGAATGTGTCACTGCGATTGACTGTGTAGGAATGTGTAGGACTGTGTCACCATGTGGGTGACTATCACAGTGTATCAGTTGCGTGACTGTGTCACTGTGTGTGTGACCATCACAGTGTCCCAGTCGTGTGACTGCGTTGCTGTGTGCATGACTGTCACAATGTCCTATTTGTCTGTTGTTTCCTGTCTATCTATTTGTCTGTTTGTCTGTTTGTCTGTCTCTCTGTTTTCTGTCGTTTCCTGTTTGTCTTGTCTGTCCACATGTCTATCTGTTCACATGTCTGTCTGTCTGTCTGTCCGTATTCTCTCATTCTGTGTGTGTGTAGCAAGTAGCATGTGGGATACTCCGGATGGTCCAGTGTGTGCGAACAGAGTGTTGTTGGGGCGTTGTGATGCCATAGCCATATGAAGTAAACCTGTATTCGAACTGTGT